GTCCATCCGTCCAGCCGTCCACCCGCGAGCGCCAAGGTATGCATGCATTCGTCCGGGCGCACACCTCATATCTACATACCTAGCCTACCTACCTACCTACCTACCTACCTACCTACCTACCTGCCTACCTGCTTATCTACGTACTTGCAGACATGCGTACGTTTACATATATGTGTATGTACACACAGACGTATGCACGAATGAAATACGCACGTATTACAGACTTGAAGTGGGGACGGGCAGGAGCATGCTGTAGTGCGTTTTAGGTGCTAGCTGCTAGCTCGTGTAACGTGACAGTGGCTGGCCGTTATATATGCAGTGTCGAACTATTCGAGCTGGACCACTGGGCTTTGACTTCCAAGCAGCGTAGTATTCCGTTGCTTTCCGGCATTTTCTGTGCATTCCAATGCTTGTTGATGGTGACTTAAGCAGCTGCCGGTCGGTGCCATGCAGAAGGCCAGTGAGCATCGATGTGATTCTTCTATGAAATCTGTCAATCAGGTCGCGCCTGAAAGTCTTCGGATCCCAGGATGTGTTTTCCTGAAATTCTCACAGCGGTTGCAAGCGTCTGTCAGGGGGAAAAAACTCAAGGCATAGGGTTGAGTAAGCTGTGTGCTATGCCCCTGTGCTTAGACAGCACATTCAAGCTTCTGGGTAGCAGCTGAAGTATACATTGACACAGTGGAGGCATCAATGATCCTCAGCTGAGTTGCGCTTGTAGGAGTGGATGGTGCCCCATGCCGCTCCTTGTCAGCGCTGGAGGCGGCAAACTGCGATTCTGGGCCGTCTCGTTGTGCATTGCCCTCGCCTGTTCTTTGCCCCAACATGTCAAATTAGGTGCCCGAAACCTTACATGTGGTAAGATAGGCGCACCCATTGCAGCTTGGAGCCGAAGGCCTGCAACGCCTGTGCGGACGGCTGCCTGCTTTGAGGCTGGCGGCTGGTAGGGCCACAGCCTGCAGCGTAAGACATTTGGAGAGTGGGGCTCATTCGAATCAACGACTCAAGTCAAGCTGTTCAACGAGTTGTTCACGAAGGTGCGTGAAAGACTGGGTTCCACAATGTTCCACACTTCCTTCTCTCTGGGAACATGCCTGAACTGGTGCTGGCATGTGCTGCCCTCTGATGCTCTGGTTGGCAGCACGGGAAAATGCAAGACCAAACTATGGGGGCCTCCACAACTGCCGACACTATTTCTTTAGGTTCCTGAACATAGCTGTACTGTAGACTGCAATACATCTTAAAGCCCTATTCCAATTATCAAGGGCCGTAGTTTGCATTCGTCCACAGGATCTGCACCGTCGAGGAGCCGTCAGACTCTCAGGTTCCGTGCCGCAGACTGCCTCGGCCGGCGAGAATGCTCAGCTTTCTAGCAACAAGAGTCGTGAACCTGATGGCATGTTCAAATCCTCAAGTCCTACTCTAAACGGACTCTCGCAGCCCGTTCCAGAACCCACATAAGAACCTTTTGGGAACCCTTGCGGAACCTGGGTCGAAGAGAGGTGGATCCCAGGAATGAACTACCCACCTACCTGGCTTTTGCGACAGTCTGGCAGTAATCGCATGCATCGGGAACGAGGGAGGTTACATTGAAGCCTCGATTCAAGCCACTTTCATATGTTGTGTCCCAGTCACGCTGATACGTGCGCAGTTCAGGCTGCCCAATTATAGCATGCTGAAGTCCAAACCATGTAGTTCTTACCCCGAGGTCTCTTTCCTGCGCGCCTGCGGAGCGAGGGCGGCAAACAGGCTGCATGGCGCTTTGATCCCCGAAGCCCCAACAGGTGCCTGAAACCGTACAGTCTGGCATGTTAAGACTGTTCAGATGGCACAGCTCTTGAAGCCTGGAGCCGAAAGCTTGCGACCTTGTGGCAGCTTCAGGTCCTGCGACGGGTGACCGCCGGTGTGGGCGACGGGCCTGGGCCACAGCCCAGTGCAGCAAACAGCATGAGTGGGGATCACTCAAACCAACAGAACTCGAGGACTCAAGTGAAGCCTCCCGTTCAAAGAGTGAGCCCTTCACGGACGATCGGATCCAGGCGCCGACGGCCTTACGTTGCTGTAGAGCAGCCCGCGGCTCCAGGGCAGTTGAGCAGTGTCTAAGCCATTCTACGCCTCTAAGCTCTTTCCTCTAAAGCAGAGAAAACAAAGGCCGGCCGTGTCGTCGAAATGGCTTGCTAGCTGATTCCGTAAGCTGCTTGTTGGGGTCAGGATAGGAGGCACATGCAGTCGGCTGCTGCTGGGCTTGTAGATGTGCATGTTCAACGTCATTCGCAAGCCCACGCTCTTTAGAAGACTTGTTGCTACAGCCTCTGTTCAGAGCAACACATGCGGCCGCGGAGCCGCACTTTGGAGCAACAGATGTGGCAACAACAAAGCCCAACCAGCTTGGATGATGCTGGGCATGTAGATACGCTGCGCAGTGTCCGAAACCCCCGGGAAGATTTGAAGGCAGAGGTCACCAGGAGATTTCGGAGGCTTTCTGCACTTATTAGATGCGCTTCCCATGCACATTCGCAACAGCAGGATTGCAGTTGCTTTGTCAAGTGGTGTTCTCCCACAGAACATCCATGGTTCGAGCATGTCTGGCAACAAGCGCACAGTCTTTTCATACCAGACACTCGTTGCGTCGAAGCAAACTCTATCCGAGTGTTTTGAGACTGTCTCAAAAAGTGTACAGACCCACGGCTCATTGTTTCTGGTCCTAACCTGTTGACAAGCTGCCAGCACGTGTTTGCCCGGAATTCGCTCTGGCCCTTCCTTGCACTTCAGTGATCTCTCCACAAAAAGCTCTCCGCTTTCTCCAAGTGTCGCAGGATCGAGTCCTGCGACGGTGTAGCGGCATCTCTTTACGTTTAGTTTCACGTTGCAAGCTAACACAGTCAAGAAACGTTCGATCGTCAGAAAGCTTCGTGCTTGGTGCCTTGGTTTTGAGTTCTCGATCATTGGGCAGGCACATCTGTCGGCTGTCACCTGGCACGGCGTTGGGACGAGGCCCAGGCTGTTGAGGATAGGGCGAAGTGTTTCAGTGGCGATGTGCAAGCTTGACAGACCTTCTGGCACACATGTCTGAAGCATCCTGCGCTAAAATCATCACGGGCTTGCAAGGAGTCGTGCGGCCGCCGGAACCAGGCTCAAGCACGGAAACCGTTGGCCGGTGAGAGCTCGATGCTTGCGGCGGACCAGGAGGGATAGCCACTCCTTCATCACGCCCATGGGTTGCAAGCACAGCTCTCCGCAGGATGGTTCTTCAGCAGTTGTGCAGAAGGCACCCAACTTCCTTTCCGAAGGGGCGATGGCTACTCTGACATCTGTGAGTTCAGATTGCTTGAGAGAAGAAGACAGAACACCCAGGAAAGAGCATGTCCAAAGCGACGTGATGACCGACTTGTTTCACACATGCTTCGATATGAATAGCTCCGAAAATCAACATGCCCAGACGGAGGACGAGTCCAGCAAACCACTGGGCCCCATTTGTACCGAAGCCTTGGTCGAAGTGCGACAGAAGTTATTGGACGAGTATTGCTTTGACAAGAACCCCAACCAGGCCAGCAAAGCCCTCTCCCTTCTTCGAAGTTTGGTGGAGTCCTCTCCAGTTGGCCACCCCGTGGCAGCATGCGGACTTGTGGACCTTGTACGGGGCATCATGGACAAGTTTCCGTTGCAACGATGGAGCAACGTGTCCTTGGACCTCAGTAGTAAGGTCGCGCAGTGCCTTTGCTTGCTGACAGAGGCCATCCGCGCCGAGCATCTCATTGGCAACTTACCTGCCCTGTGCAAGGCGGATGCGGAACGACTCTGGATGTATGCAGATGAGTGCCGTGCCATGAGCGTGCGCAGGTCTGAGGCAACTGCAGGATCGCTGGACGAAGCAGGTGATGTACTGCAGGCCCTGTGGCTTGATACATTGTTTGAAAGCGTGCAGCGCATGAAAACGACAGAGACTGCAACGCAGAAGGCTGTAGAAACTCTGTCTGGCACAGCTAGTGCCGCCATCAAACTTTACAAAGGCGATGTGCTTGCAGGCTTGACTCAGCTAAAGAAGACCTTTCGCAGCGCCAGTTTGAGCCCGGGGGCATGGTATGATGAACTCGTACTGCTGAGGAAGCTGGCCACTGATTCCGTGAGAGACGAGTGCACCTTCCGGCAACTTCGGTGGGTCCTCTCTTCGGGCTCCTTGCTCAACAGTGCAACAGGCTCTTCGGAACCTCCAAGATTCCTGATGCATGTCATTCTCTGCCTTGAGCGGCTGATCACAGAAGGCTCCACCTCCCACATCCGCGAGCAGTCCTTCCAATTGCTCGCAGATTATGCTACCAACGCATCCGTCCATTTGCAATACACTGCAGTGAAGGTGCTGGAAAACTTGACCTCGGCAACCTCAACGAGAATCAGATCCACTGCTCAGGTCGTCCTTCAGCTCGTGCAGCGTGCATTGATGGCCGAATCTGACAATGCCGTCCTACGTAACTACGCGCAGCGGCTGTCAAAGCAGTTTGAGCCTGGCCTGCCCGAACAAGACATCTTTCCTATGCCACAAACTCCGATTTTTTAAACTGTTGTCGGGCCATTAGACCAAGACTGGACAGTCTTGACTCATGCTCAGGAAGAAGCGAAGAGAAACCAAAGCCTCCGACGAGGAGCCAAGGCCCAGGCGTGACTCGGTCGCAATAGCGCACCAGACCCTAGGCCCTCTGCCCTACAGTTTAGGGAGGGGGTTTAGAGTTTACCAGACTGGCCGCAAAGGTCGCATGGTTAGCCATGTACTTGTTTCATCAAGCAGGAAAGACGAGTTCGACGGCTACTCCTCTGTCATCGCCAATCTTTTGGCCAACCTCAATGAAGGAGCTAGCAATTTCCACGGGGAGGAGACCTTGATGTATATGGCGAGCAAGATGACTTCGCGCCATACCGGGGAGGTCGCTGCAGCCTTGCAGGAAGTGGTGTACTTCGGCTCTGCGGCTGCTTCTTATTTCGATAAGGAGAATACGGAAACGGGGCTCACTCCTGTACACGAGGCGGCCATTGCAGGTGTCAAACACAATTTGGCTTGGATGTTAGCTGCGAGAACTCAGACCTTTGGCAAGAGTCTGTGCACATTGAAGACAGCGGCAGGAATTCAACCTATTCATGTTGCAGGCTCAGTGGACGTCCTGGAGCTTCTAATGAGCTATCGTGCAAGCTTGAATGCCAGAGACAAAGGAGGAAATACGATACTTCACACGTTGACGTCGGCAAGCGTGCTGAAGCACGTATTGCACCTGATGGAGAAACCTGAATGGCCCTTTGAGGATCTCACGGTCAACGTCCTCAACCACCGGGAAGATCCTCCCCTATTTACCCCTGCTCCCATCAGCAAGGGCCTGGTTCGCAGCGCTGCAATCATCAGGGCATTGCTTGAGCATCGGGCGAACCTTCAGCAGGCATGGCATGGCTCTCTCCGCTGTGGCATTTCGTTGACAGGGGTCAGTAGCTTAGGAGCACGCTCCAGCATGCCGGTAAGTCCGAATATTGCCTGGCAGGTCGGACGGTACAAGCTGAACGCACTGCACGCTGCGGCAAGACAGGGCAATGCCGAATGCTGCCGCGAGCTAATCAAACAAGGCATCGACGTCCTGCACGAGCGATAGGCCGGCCGGGGGAAATGCTGGGATCTCTCAATCGCTGGTCCAAAGCCCTGCTTTTCTTGAAAGGACGGATGGCGCGCTCTACACATGGCCACAGCTGCCTCAATACACAGCCTCCTGCAATGTGACCTCCGCAATCATGTCAACCATGCAGACAAAGATGGTAAAACCGCAATGCATACGGCTGTCGATGTTCTTGTCATGCGCGAGCTTTATGCGTGCCGGGCAGACGTTGACAGGAAGAGCCTAAGAGGAATAACTCCTCTGGCTCAGATAGGTGAGCAGTCTGGCCAGCCGGTACCGAAGCTGGAGTTTTTGGCTCATGCGAGGGCCGACCTTACAGCCAAGACAAGACTCGGCGACCCCTGCTTCGCCGATGCAGTCTTCTGCAATCAATGTCAGCTTGCACTTGCGTTCTTAGAGGACGAGACATCCAGGAAAGAATTGCTGTCGCTGCGCGTTAATGATGGCATGGATGCAATTCACCTTGCGGTGCTAGCTTCTACGAACTCGGCTTCAATGTTTTACATGTTGGTGGAGCATCGTGCGGACCTCAATTCCTGTTGGGGTCAGGCGACGCTTATGTACCAATCGAAGAACCGAATGCATTTGAAGCGCTTCATGGTGAATCAGGGCCTCGACATCAACACTCCGAATCAATTTGACGGTGCAACCTGTTTGCATTCTGGAGACTATAGCGTCTTCGACCTGCAAGAACTTTTGACAATGCATGCTGATCCATTGATCACCACTCGTACTCGCGAAAGCGTGCTTCAAAGGTTTCTCCGTTTGTCGAGCCCAGACTGGTTGCCTCCTTGCGTGGAGCTTCTCCTGCATTGCAAGGCTGCTGTCGACGATGTAAGCCACCCCCTGCTACCACATTGGGCAAGGAATTCAGCGGCGGATAAGGACTTTCTCAGTCGCTTGCTTCAGCTGAGGTGCTCCGTCAATGCCACCGACTTGCTCTACGGTAGGACTGCCTTGACGTGGGCTACACCGGTGCATCGGGCTTCGCGGGAGACCACCGCTGTCGATGAATTGCTCCAGCACAAGGCCGATGCTCGTATCCCCGATGTTTATGGGCGCGTCCCGCTCCATTACGCAGTTTGCAGCCAGAGTGCGGTGCACTTGGTGCCTGGTTTGTACGCCGCTGATCCAAGTGCAGCGAGTGTCAAAGACATGGCCGGAGAAACGCCGGCAGACCTGGCCTTGCGCCTGGGCACGGAGAAGGTGGCGAAACTGATCCGCCCCACCATGCGAAGGACATTCTGGAACACTGATGGGCAACTGATGGCGGCACAACACCTGGATCCTTCGATGTCGGACCTTTGGCACAGCGCTCGACTCGGGCTTGACCGTTGCAAAGAACTCTTGCATGGGCTGGATGTCGCAACGCTGGTTTGCCCCGTGTCAGGTGATACTATTCTTCATGCGGTTGTTGCAGGTGGCAACTTGCAAGTGGTAAAGCGTGTACTGGAGATTTCACCGCAGCTCTGCCAGACAAAGTGCGGATTCGAAGTCATCAGACACACCCCGTTGCACAAATTAGCCACGCAGGTGGTGCAGCCGTTGCTCGCCGAAGAGATTGCTGAGGCACTGATTGATGCACGTGCTGATCCCTTTGAGGAGATCCAGTTCGGTTTCAGCTATGGCAGCATTGCCCTAAAAGCAGCTCAGTTCTCGCCTGGCGTTTTGAAGGTGCTCATTCGCAGCAAGGTCGGGCTCTGTTGCAATAGGTGCTACTTGTTTCAGCTAGTTGAAGATTCGTTGTAAAAATGTAGTCCCAACCAGGTAGACGTCACGGGAGAACGAGCATGGTGCTCGCTTCGTCAGCACTGGATCTGGCAGCGTGCACGAGATGGGGAGATTGTGAAGCTACTTTTGGAAGCACGTGCCCAAATGGATGCGGTTCCTTGCAGCAAAGGCCAGACGGCGTTGCATTGGCTGGCAGCTACGAGCATCTCATCCCTGTGCGAGTCACTAAAGCACGCCTCTGTGGAACTCATCAACACGCAATGCGACTACGGAACAACCGCTTTGTATGTGGCGGTAGCCTGCCAGTTTGCTGATTCGGTCGAGGCGCTGCTGCGTGCCAAGGCTGACGTGCACCTCAAAACTGAGGGAGGTGCGGAGTTGGCCAAATCAGGGTCCCGTGATAAGTCGAACTCTTGTACGGAAATGTGGCTCTGATAACACCCAGGTCAGACACCTTTACACAGCTCCGGGGCCGCTGATTTAGATTGTTTGGCTCTTCTCTTGGAAGCTGGACTTGACCCGAACGAGTCCGACCTGTCGGGGAACTCAGCCGTTTCCCACATCATGGGTGCATTTTCGTCCATGGAGGATGAAAAGGTGGAACAGTGCTTGGCCAGACTTGCCAAAGCCCGGGCAAATTTACACCACGTGAACTCCACTCGCGAGCCGTTGATCTTCATTGCTGCTCCTGCACCGAGAGCCCTGCAGTTCTTTCTGGATGCTGGGCTCGACGTTCGTATCGTCGACCCAAAATCTGGCCGGAATTTGGCATCGAAGGCGGCAGCCACCAACCTGCCTTGTGCCAAGGAGAGTCTTGAGTTGCTACAGGAACGAGGTCTTGACCTCTTTGCACATATCAACCAGTTTAGTGGTAAGACCATCCTCCATGAGGCTGTGAACAACGGCCATCCTGACACCTGGGATTACTTGCTGCACCAACTCTGCCAGCTAGATGCTGACATTTTCTATGACCTGCTCTGTCGGCAGGATGATCAGAACCGAACAGCTGTACATGGAATGGCGATGACGGCTGGGCCATACAAGGGTCGACATTCGTTCCGGCTCTATGCATTCTTGAAAGTCGTCGCCTCCATTCCACGCATCCAGCAGGATCTGCACACGCTGGTGAACCAACCTGACAGAGACACTTGGGCTTGCCAAGAAAACTTGCAACATTTGCCTCCATGATTTTGTTTTGTCCGAAGTCCTCTGAGCAGATCATAGCAGATCCAAGGACAACAAAAGCCCTCTCCACTGTGCCAGGGAAGAAGAGACTATCCGACTGTTGCTTCAAGCTCGGGCGGATGCCCACAAGTCCTTGTCTTTCTTCGATTTAGGAGATTTCATCCAATTGCGAAGGGTGGACTTGCTGTTAGGAGCATCTGCAGACATCAACTGCCTGGGTGACCAAAAGGAACGGCCTTTGCATCGAATCATTGCATCGGGGGACCTGCCGACGGCTCAGGAATGGATCAAGCGCGGAGCCGATGTTTCCAGGACAGACTCGAACGGCGAAAGCAGTATCAACTACTGCAAGCTTCCTCACATGGTCAGCTTCCTCATGCAAAATGGGTGCGACATCAACTACCCATCCGTGCTGACTGGAGATACTCTACTCCACAAGCTGTGCGCTGATGGCAATGCTCCGATGGTGAAGTATCTCCTCATCGACCTTCGAGCCAAAACCCGCCTCAACTCCAGGGGTGAGTCCCTTCTTCACGTCGCATCTACAACCAACAGCATCGAGACCATCCAGCTCCTGATTGATCACGGATTTGACCTGAAGGCGCAAGATCGTGAGGGTCAGACGCCTTTGCATCTTGCATGCAAAGAGGGCAGGTTCTTCACCGCCCGGACGTTGTTGGGGGAAGGTGCAATGGTGGATGCCGCGGATGACCTCGGAGAAACTCCCCTCTTGGAGTGTGTGAGGCAGGGAGATCTAGAAGTTTTTGAGCTGCTTCTGGAGTATCGTGCGGACTTGACGCGTGGGACAGCTTCAGGACAGACGGTCTTTCATATCGCATGCCATGCTGGCCGCCTCAGCATACTGCAGGAGCTTTTGGAGCAGCCGGAGCTGGATGCTTTTGTGAACGTGCAGATGTCAGACACCGGCCTGACCGCGTTGCATGTTGCTGTCGACAGGTCGCATGAAGCCTTAGCCTCGCTGCTACTGCAAGACCCGAGAGTGCGACACGATCTTCCCAATTCCAAGGGCGAAAAGCCGGTGCAAATTGCCGCACGGCGCTCGCTGGACCTGGTTCGCATGATCGCGGACGGGCGAGTCTTGTACACGGAAGAGCTGCATGCGGCACTCCTTGAAGCCGTCGCAACAGGAGCCCCGGACATTTGCGAGTTCTTGGTTTGTGAGGCCGGCGTTGAGGTCCACAGGTGCATAGATGAAGCTGGTAACAGTGCCCTCCATCTTCTGGCTCGCAGTGATGACGATACTTTGGCAAAGTGGGTCCTCGCACACTGGCATGGCAGCCTGTACGATGCACTGTCGCTGGAGAATCAGGAGGGTATGACACCCTCCCAGGTGGCAGCTGTACGGGATCATGATCGTGTCATACGAGCCTTTAACAAGGCATGTCGAACATCAAATTCATCGACTGCCGCTGCAGATCACATGTTCAGTGGCGAGACCTTCAACGGCCAACGTCCGCAGGGCTTGTTGTGCTGCTGAACACCAGTGGTCCCCTGCTTACATCGTAATTAGCTGCATTGATGTTGTGCGGACCACCGGCGTGGAGGGTGAGCCGTTTAGCCGGAAAGGGCTGAGTGAGGGGTAAAGAACCGAAGACAAGGAGGCATCATAATATGGAGGCTTAAGCGGTTTAAGGTTTAGGACAACAGACGATGCCGCCAGCTCAACCGCACAACTTCGTTGAGGGACCTCTGGCATGAATTCAGTCGTCATGAACTACAGACGGCTAAGATTTACATCAGAAGCCGGAGCGCATTGACCCAGCATTTTCACGAAAGTTGTATGATAGGCGACGCACTGTGAGACCTGGAGAAGTTGTCACGGCTTCACAAATTGGCCGAGAGGCTCGGGCCTCAATACTGCCAACGTCCTGACATCTGAGGCAAGAAGAGGTTTCACACAGACTGTCTCGCGCGTGTTCTAATGAAGGCGCGATGAAAGGCATGGTCCCTGCTGTACAGTCAGCATATCGATGTGATGGGCTCTGAGATGTTTGCACAGGCTCCTCGACATTCCCAGGCGCAAGGCGGGGAGCACGGGAGCCGCGTCGCGGAGACTTCGAGCTTGCCCCGGAAAGTCTGGAACCTTTGATATCCCAAGAATGCCAAGGTGCCGAGATCGACACCCCAACCCTGAAACTGCAGATCAGACACACCCTGTAAGCCGTCGAGGCCTCGGCTCCAGCCGTTTCTATCCGACGACATCCAAAAAGACAATTTTTTGTGGCTTATCGCTTCTCCCAAACCCCAAAAAGGCCCTAAACCCAAAAGCCCTAAAACCCCAAAGCCATAAACCCCTAAACCCTAAACCCCAAAGCCCTAAGGCCCTAAAGCCAGAAACCCCAAACCCTGCCAGGACTGTGGGACTCCTCCAGGCGCCTGAAAGTGCGCGGATCTCAGGGCAGGTGCCTTCCTGTAATAGGGTTTAGGGTTTAGGGTTTAGGGTTTAGGGTTTAGTGCTTAGACTGTAATTCTCGCAGTGGCTGCAAGCGACTAGGGGTTCAGGGTCTTACGCTTTAGGGTTTAGGGCTTAGGTTTAAGCTGCTCGGCTTTGTGTCCCATTTTGCACGAACGGCGCATGAACCCATGCGTGCTTGGGCAGCAAGATATCTGTGTGGTCGTGTCTCTGCAGTTGAATTCGATATTGACAAAGCTGCGTCTTGGTTTTTGTTCAGGCTTCGCATCTTTTGCTGCATCGTGCCGTGTGACTGCAGGGACCATTCTGTCACCCAGAGTCCGTCTCTTTTCCCACGTTCTTTTCTTTCTGCTGCTTTTTGCTGAAACTGCTGGGAATCACAGCTGGCATCTGCCACAGCCCTGACCCTGTGTGCAAATTGGCAAGGTCTACGACTGCTGGCAGCAGTGGCACCGTAGATTGTGCAGCAACGGCGGAAGGAACGAAAAGCAGCATGTTGATCCCACTCTCTGGGCCGTAGCAGCTCTTCACACGTCACCACCAGACGAAGTAGCAGATGCACACTGTCCAGCCCGTGGCTTTTGGCTGATGCAGCTCCCAGATTTCAAGGATTGAAGTCACATACGCCAGACGACGGTCCAGCAGTATGGAGCGGAGCTGCTTAGGTTAGTGCCACAGTCACAAGACGAACTGGCAGCGATTCAAGCTGAGCTCTGAAACCTCCAAGCCTGAACCCTAAGGCCTAAGCCTCTAGCCTCCTGAGTCCCTCACACCCGCAGTGTCCTCTGTTGATATGGTGCAAGATGACTCCGGGTGAGGAGGACTGACCGCGAACATGTCAGCAGCAAACCACAAGGATTTGGGCACACCGATCCTTCCGCGATCAGCCTGAGCCTTTGCCTCAGAAGGTTCAAGCCTTAAGTGACAGGAGTCGGAGGAAGACGAGGTCCTGACTTTGCGACCCCTTTTCGAAGCTCGTCTATTTCGTGATTACAGCTAACAATACGTTAATGGCTAAGCGCCAAGGCTCCCTCACCAGCCAAACTCCTTCCTAACCGTTCCTAACCATGTGACTTTGACTCCAGCGGCGAGTTATTTTGCCCGAACAGCAAACCCCAATTCCCTCGAATCCTAACAAGGCCCGAGAGCATCAAATCCAGAAAGCCGTAGCACCCTAAAACTTTGAAACCCTAAACGCTCTGAAACTTAAGGACGAATGGGTGCTTTCGCGCCGCCTCAAGCTTTTCCCACCCGTCATGCCCAATGCCCAGCTGCAACAGTACAGACAGCAGCTCCACTGCTCCCCTTAGTGCAGAGTTGCAACAGGAAGCCGCTGAGTCCTTAAACAAAGTACAGCGAATTGGACCCTCGGAGCCCAAGCGTCTCAAGCCCTAAAGCTCCAGAATCCTCAAGCTTTTGGGCAGGGCGATCAAGCCTTCAATATTAGGGTTTAGGGTTTAGATGGGTTTAGGGTCCCGAAATCCGAAACCCTACCCTAAGCCCTAAACCCCCAACCCTAAACCCTAAACCCCAAAGCCCCAACCCTAAACCCTAAACCCCCAACCCACAACCTTAAACCATAAACCCTAAACCCTAAACCCTAGCCCCTAAAGCTACGACTACGGAGGGTCGGGAGCTGAGGAAGAGACTTTGGTCGACCCGACAGCCCAGGAGCTGGAATTCGATTTTGGACATGGCTCCTCGGCTTGGCTGCACGGGTTTAGGGTTTAGGGTTTAGGGTTTAGGGAGCACGATTGCAGGGTTTGGGGTTACGGTGAAGTGCGGAGGGTTTCATGGGGTCTTGCAGGGTTTTATAGGGTTCGCATTGGGCTGTTACTCGTTTTGTCGTAGGGCACTGTAGGGTTACGTATACGGTTTCGTACGTTTCGTACGTCTTATCGGGGTTCGACTATGCCCCATATGCTTATGCGAACATGTACCCCCGCTTCCGAACAAAACATTCCAATTTTTCGGGCCCTGTATTCGTACAGCTTCGCGAATTTCATTGTGCCCGACCAACTCAGGATTCAACCAGTTCTTTGGGCTAGAAGGGTAGGAAAATTCAAAGGAGCAGACTGTGGGTGAGGAGCTGTCAGTTGTAAAGCTTGCCCATTCAAGCCTTCAGGGCTTCTCGCGTCAGGTATCACCTATCACATGCACCACCATTTGCCATGAATTTGATCCCAAATCATCAAAGCTTGTGTTGAAGATCAGCGAGAGCACCCCATGCCAGGAATGTATGGGTCGCATCGCAAAAGTGCCATCAACCGGCATATATCACATGTGTTATCTCAACGACCTTGTCAAGGAGGGACTATTGGGAATAGACGTCTCGCAAGAGGTCCTGGCCAAAAACGGAACTTTGTGGTTATGTTTGGGGCATGTTTATTAAACACACCCCATTTTGTAAACCTCATGGTGCTTGTTCTTCAATGCTACGTTACACATGATCCTGAGCGCTGGATGGTGAACCGCAAAGCCTTAAACCCTGAAGCCGGAAATCCTCAAGCATCAAAACACCAAAACCCTGAAGCCTTAGACCCGAAAAGCCAAAACCCTAAACCCTAAACCCTAAACCCTAGACCCTACTAGTAGACCCTAAACCCTAAACCCTAAAATCCCGTTTGAGGGCCGCACTGCGGAGGTCTGCAGTTCCGGCTCCGTCAGCGCCCCGAGAGCTTCGCCTCGCAACGTGCCAGGACGTGCCTTGACGAACGCGGAGACGCAAGAGAAGAGTTAAGGGTTTAGGGTTTAGGGTTTAGGGTGTAGGGTGTAGGGTTTAGGGTTTAGGGTTTCTTGGAAGGGTTGTTTGAAGGGTTCTACATGGGGGTGTCGGGTTTGTAGGGTTGTGGGTTCAGAGCCCTTGGTGTTAGAGTTCAGTGGTTCTTCACGCACCCGGACTTGCATCCATATGGTGATCCGATGTGCAATCTGCATGCAAGTGTGATAATGCATGTTGGCAACAGCGTATGTGTGCATGTGTGCGCAGATACTTGCATACCTGGACGCAAACCTATGTCTGCAGTTTCACACAGATATGGTTGCCTTCCTACTACCTGCCCACCTGCCTGCCTGCCTGCCTGCCTACCTGCCTACCTCTTACCCACCTACCCAAAATACCGACCTACTTCCTGCGTGCTGCACCTACCCTGCCTGCCTACTTGCCTACCTGCCTACCTGCCTTCCTGCCTGCCTGCCTCCTAACAACCGACCTACCTTACCGACCTACCTTACCTGCCTGTTTCTGCCTGCGTAGGTGGAGATACCACCTTCCTTCCTTCCTACCTACCTACCTACCTGCCTACCTACCTGCCTGCCTGCCTGCCTGCCTGCCTGCCTGCCTGCCTGCCTGCCCAGAGTTTAGCGCCAGGGTTAGGTGCCAGTTGGAGCAAGGATCAGGCAACAGGCTGGGGCAGAAATCGCATGCACTCGGAGCGAGGGAGGTGTCTTTAAAGCTTCGACAAAGGTCCGTTTCATACGTTTTGTACGCTCATACGTATCCAGGTTCCGCAACTCAGGCAGCCCCAACAAGTTTGCAGAAGTCTGCACCCTGTAGTTCCTACCCCGAGGTCTCTTTCGTCCGCGCCCACGGAGAGAGGGCGGCGAACAGGCTGCATGGCGCCTTGGACCCGGAGAGCTCCGCCGGGGGGGGGGGTGTCCGGAGATGGCTTGTTCTTGAATGGCTTGTTCTTGAGACGCTTCTCCGGGTCTGTTCCTTTAGGATCTACTTAGGGTCTAGGGTCTATTTCGGGTTTAGGGTTATTTAGGGTTTAGGGCTTAGGGTTTAGGGTACCGATATATGGTCTGTTCCGACTTCGGAGATGTTCGTTTGGCAAATGGGAAGATGTGTGTGCAGCTGGTGATTCAGTCTTTAGCTTTTCATAGCCTTGCAAGGGTCGCTGCCAGCAGATGACGTCCTTCGACAGAGCCAGTTTCTGATTAGGGTTTAGGGTTTAGGGTTTAGGGTTTAGGGTTTAGGGTTTAGGGTTTAGGGTTTAGGGTTTAGGGTTTAGGGTTTAGGGTTTAGGGTTTCTGAGCGAAGCGGAAAGATCCTGAACTCCTGAACTCTACACCCTAGAGCCTCACAGCCTGCAACCAACTCAGCCGCCAGGGAAAAGGGGCCTTCAAACATGCAACCCTAAACCCTAAACCCTAAACCCTAAACCCTAAACCCTAAACCCTAAACCCTACACCCTAAACCCTACACCCTACAGCCTAAACCCTAAATCCTAAACCCTAAACCCTAAACCCTAAATCCTAAACTAAACCCCAGCGTTTTTTCACGGAGGTCTGGGATGGGGCCGCCGTGCTCGCTGGGATGCTCGCTGCTGCGGAGAGGAGATCCGTGGACCATCCAGGTGCTCTGGCTGCTAGGGTTTAGGGTTTAGGGTTTAGGGGTTTAGTGCTTAGGGTTTAGGGTTTAGGATTTCGGGTTTGGGGTTTAGGGTGTAGGGTTTAGGGTTTAGTTCCCTCTGTCTGTGTGCGTTCTTCAGGGCTCAGGGTTCAGGATGTACTTTTTGACAGATTTAATGGTTTCGTGCCTTTGCAGAATTTGGGTTTTATTCAAGGGTTTTGGACCGAGGATGTAGGCTGTCGAAGGGCAAGGTGGAACCCAGGCCAAGGTCTCGGGGCTTCTTTTCCTTTGGTGCCGGTCTCCGGCCTTGTTAATGTTTCTGCGCCGAAGGCCCATGCAAGAATCTAGAATTTTAGTTTTTACCGAAGGGTTTATTGGCAGTGAAGAAAGCGGGATTGACGGTATGTATCGGAGTGCTGTAATGGGTACATGAGGCCTGGTACCGAGGTAGGTGGCATTTAAGGTCTGCCAGAGTACAGGAAGCTTCGGCCACATGGCTTGCCAGCAGCTGCTGAGGCTCTCTGTGAATCTCATGTCCTCAACCCTGCACCCTCAAGCCGAAGCCTGGAAACCCCTAAACGCCTGAACCCTGAACCCTCAACCCTACAAGCAC